TACGACACACACACACAATACAACTCGCTGCATTCATGTAAAAGTAACTGTCATGATCAAAAACACACAGTACTCTCGGGCACGACTGTATACAGTCAACACCAGCGCTGGCTTCGTCAGTGGCGACGGCTGCCTTAGGCAGCAATGCAGCGTTCTGTGCACAAAAAGCCCTCACTCTGGTGGCTTCTGCCTTTTACTTACAACCTGAGATTCAACCTGATGATTGTAGTGATCCGAGTACAACAACCACACAGCCACTACAGTTGTCACCCCTTGGAAGAATCTCGACCCCGTCAAGCTTGAAGATGTGTCCGTCGTCTGAGAGTTAGCATCATTCCTTCCCAATACTGTCGCATTTTCAACCATTCACATTTTGACAAATCGTCCAGTTTTTCATAGTTTCACCAAATCCGAGAGGCAATTTCAGGCGTTTCCTGCCGTCTTTTGGCCTCATGATCTGGTATAGCAGACTGAGACCGAATGAATTTTTTAAGTGCATGCAGGTCGGTACTTTTGACGCGAGCCCAGGATGGAGGTTATGTGAGGAAATGTCAGTAAGGATTCCGTTGCCCCATCCCGCAACTAATCACCGTCGCACGATTTACCCCCGGTCTACGTCAGCCCTCCGACGTCCCACCCCTACAGTTGCCCCCCAGCGCTGCCCTCCCCACCGGTACTGGATCAGACATGAGAGAGCATCCCCACTTCTCTGAACGCTGCAGTTTGTAGGCCTCCACAATGCTTGCGGCAGACGAGTACGTCGAGGAAGGCTAGCTGCTTGGTGTTTTCTTCCGGGAAGAGGGCGTTGAGATGTTCTTTGAAGTCTAGATCGTGATTCGTTTCGGTGGCGACGAAGGTACCTATCACACACCGAGCCCAGACGTTTGTTTGGTTATGTCAGAAGACTAGCGACTCCAACAACGATTGTAGGACGGCTTCAGCTATTGCTGGGAATGCGCCCGTTCCCACGATTATTCTGTTAGGAGATGCCTAACAGATAGACAGCTTGCGCAAGCAGCCCTACTCGCACCAGGC